TCTTCGAAAATAGCTTTTCATTCACGAACTTTCTAAGGGAAAAGATGCCCTCGAAGTGAAAGCGTTTCTACTATGATCCAAAGAACAATTCAAATTTCTCGAGAGCCATGAGACGTGCCGAGTAAACCGTCCCCTTAGTGAAATCACTGCTAGAACTAACTCACATAAAGAAAAATTATTGATAAGAGTTGTTTTGAAGGTTTTGAGGCAAATTACCGAATTCAATCATGGGGAGAAATGGAAGTTAACATTCCTTCTTGTTGACATGGATTCTTGAGAATGTCAGATCAAATTTGCCAGGTCAATTTTTTTCTTCCCCGCACATTGTTAGGGCTATATCACTAGCCGCGCCAACTCCTCGGCATTTTAGCGATCACTATTTTAGTATAATCGATCGACCACCTATCGAGCCTCAAGTTCATCCATCATTACGTTTCGACGACTCCAAGTAGAACTCTCGATAATCGAATTCCTTCGAAACTCCGCCATACCTATCGCTTGTACTGAACATAGGCCACTGGGTGTGGGTGAGCGTGCAACCCTCAGGGTTGGGATTGATTTGATTCCTAGAGCCAATCATTGCCCACGTGAGCTAATCACTCCAGGATATCGGCTAATCCCAGCCAATTAGGCCTAATGGTTGGATTAAGACGCTTTACACGCATACCTTTATCATTACGTAATCAGAAGAATGGAATACGGGATAAGACATGACATCTCGTACAAGAATTTACCATTTCCTGATTGCATTAAAGTGACTGGATTAATAATTAAACTCTGTGGGGTCAGCCATAACCCTTAATGCTTAAAGATAAAAAAACCTTCTAATTTAACGACATCTAAAATTCATAATCCACGACGCCTGTTCGATCACCCAAACACCCAATACCCCGGAATAATCCTGCTGACGAAATGACTCCAGCTATCTGTCTTATCTCCACCACTCAAGGAGGTTATAGTCCCTCTAAACATCCCAGAGATAACGCTGGAATTTGTCACCTCTCACCTGCACCTTCCACAGATATCCACGAGCTGGGGAGTCTTGCAGCCAGTTCACCTTGAACTAGACATAGACTGTGTTCTAGTGTTCGCAGATAACGATACCTAGAATAAAACTCTTGAAACTCAGATAACTTGGACAAATAGAATGAGTCAAGAAGTGCTGGTCTCAAATATCCATTAACTAAAACCGTGGAAAAATGATTGAAATTAGTCTGATGTACTGTAAAGACGACTTGATTTAAGACATTAGACATGAAAATGTGTCTTACTTTCAGACACTGATTTTTTCAGTGTGACCCTAACGCAGTCCCACGTGACCGCGCATCAGAGAGAAAAGAGTATGACCCATTGCCATGTGACAAATTGAGCGTTTTTCTTAGTTGCTTGGACAAGTGTATTTTCCAAACACACAAACCCTCAAGGGGGTGGTTGGGCACTGCGGGCAACAAGTGCGACCACACCGGGCCAGACACACACGTCACAGTTGAGGCTGACTCGACCCCCGCGTGTGTGGTCTCGTCGTACGCTCGTTTTCTTCCACAATCGATATATCGAGCGTGTGTGACGGCCACTACAGTTCTCGTTTTATCTGTCCTCCTCGCTCGTTCACAATGTTCCCGTACACGGTGTTGGCTGGTGGTGGACAAGGGGAATCGAAGGGGAAAGTGAGAGAGTTGTGAGGTCGAATTGGACGTCGGCCTTACGTGGGTTGTGGTAGGCCATGGACGTGTCCCTCTCCCCAAGTTAGGAGAGTTTTTCCACCCTCTGGAAAGAGCCAGAGCCAGCGTGGTCAGACCTCTATTTTCGGATGTACGTGTTTTGAGGTTTTGAGGGTTATGGCTTTATTTCTTGTCGATTTACAGATTTATCTTTGTGCTCGACAAATTAGGGTTGACCACTTTTTGAAAAAGATTAAAACTCCATGGAGAATTTAATACTAATTTTCAGGAGAGCGACATTCAATTAGATTTTGAGAAAAAAAAATTAAATTCCAAATTTTTGAGCAGCAGGAAGATGAGAAACACCAAATTATGCTGAAGTTTAAATTACTTGAATTTTCGTGATTTTTATCGATTTCCACGGAATCATTGTTCACTGTCACCTCCGGTTTCATTTTTTTAACTTTCCTCACGTGATAAAATTGAATAGTTGCTCAGGATAAAATCAAAAATGAAAATTTTCCCCTCAAAGTGCTTGATATTCCAGATGAACACCTTTCACACATCAATAATTGCCCAGCAGGATAATATTTTTATTCACCAGCTACAACAATTCCCCCAACTTTATTCTCCCTGCGAAAAATCTCCATAAAGAATAAAACAGGTGTCTTGTTCTAAAAGTATTAAAAGAATGTCCAACACGCTGGAAAAGAGGAGCTCTTAAAAGGTTGGCAAAGTTTTTCTGACCCTAAGAAATCTTTTCTTTCGCCTTGACGCGGCCAGCGGCATCTCGGTGTGGCAATGTTTTAGCGTATTGATCCGATGGGGGGGAATTTAGTTGAGGCGGAGTGGTGTGGGGGTGTGGGTGTATAAAAGCCCAGCACGCTGGAGGGAACGGGGGTAAGGAAAAAAGCTGGAGTAAGATGGGCGGGGGAGGGGGG